TGGCGGACGCGTAAATTGCTTCCGTCTTTAAAAAAAATTTTTTTTCTTTTTTTTTTTTCCTTTTTATGTTTGTTACTTGTTGTTGTTTGTTTGTTTGTTAACGAAGATAAAAAATATTTAAAAAAAAAAAAAACAAAAAAACCTACTTAATTACGCGATGTAAGTAAAAGAAATAAAGAAAAAATGAAAAAAAAAAAAATAATAATTATCATTATCATTATTATTATTATTATTATTATTATTATTACACGCGTTAATTGACCTGTAAACTTAGTGGTACGAATTTTTTTCACGCGGATTTGTTGTCGTCTAAGCAAAAAAAAATTTTTTTTTAAAAAAAAAGTTGGTCAAATCAAATTTTTCTTTTTTTTTTGCTGAACAAAACGAATGACGATGACGACGACGATGATAATAATAATAATAATAATAATAATAAATTACGTTTTTTGGCTTTCGTCGAAAAAACGAAAATTTTTTTTTTAAATGTGAAACAAACGACAACCAACGATAAAAGAACCGAAGCTTTTACTACGCATTTTCCACGTTTCTCTCTCCCCCTCTCCCTCTCTCTCCCCCTCTCCCTCTCTCTGTCTCTCTCTCTCTCTCTCTCTATAAATAAACGTAAAAACGCGCGCGTAATAGAAAAACAAATTCAAAAGTGTTTTTTTAAATAAATTTATAGGTTAAGGTTTTTCTCTCTTTTTTTTTTTTTATGAGGGGGGGGAATTTTCACCGTAACCCTTTCATTTTACGATAAACAAAAATAAGAAGAAGAGATAATGCAGATGATGATGATGATGATAATAATGATAAAATTTTAGTTTTAATAAATTTAATATGGAATTATCTCGTATTAAAAAATTTATTAATTTCCGACACAATAATTTTCGCCATCATTAATTTTTTCATATATATAATAATAATAATAATAATATTTATTAAAATCAGTGCCGTAAATAAAAAAAATTTATTTTCAATTAATATAAATCCATCTTGTCAACTATTATTATTATTGTTATTTGTAATTTTCTTATTAATCGTTTCCGTCATGTTTTTTTATTTATTACTTTTATTTTTCTTTTTTTTCTCTCTGCCGATGATGGCGCCGCCCCATCGCTGTCGAACACATCAATTAAAGATTGAAAGATTTTCCGAAAAGGTATAATAATAATAATAATAATAGTAATAATGATAATGATAATTTGTTTAAACTTTTACAAAAAGAAAAAAAAGGAAAAAGTTTTAATAAACAATATTCACGAAGGAAAAGAAGAAAGAAAAAAAAAAGGAAAAGAAAAGTTTCGAGTTTGAATTTCTTTTTTTTTCTTCCATAATTTCCATCAATTTTATTATTATTATTATTATTTTGTTTTGTTTTTTTTGTTGAACTCTTTCTGGAAAAACTCTTTTTGTCTCACTCTTTCCCTCTCTCTCTCTCTTTCAATCCCTGTTTTACCAAACAAATACGCACTTATCATTATCGTGCAGAATTTTATTTGTTATTATTATTATCATCATCGTCATCATCATTATAAATAATATATTTTTCGTTGTAGTTGTTTGTTGTTTGTTGCGGTACAAAATTTTATAGTAATTTAAATAATTAAAATGTTTTTCATCACAAAAAAGGAAAATAAGGAAAAAAGGAAAAATTTTTTAATCAACGCGAAAAAAAAAAGAAAGAAAACTCGAAACGTAATACGAAAAAGTGAAAGATGATGATGATGATGATGGAAATAAAGAAGAAAGAAAAAGAAAATTATTTTTTTTGGTGAAAAGGGTTAAAGGTGAAAATAAGAAGAAGAAAAGGATAAAGGAAAAAGGAAAAGAAAGGGAGGGAAATGAAAATGCCAAAATATATATTTTGAAAAGGGTCGAATTTAAAAGTTTTTCTTTTTTTGTTAATTTTAATTTAATTTTTTTTTCTTTTTCTTTTGTCTCTCTCTCTCTCTCTCTCTCTCTCTCTCTCTCTCTCTCTCTCTCTCTCTCTCTCTCTCTCTCTCTCTCTCTCTCTTCCTCTGTCTCCTTTTTTGAATTAAAAACCAAAAGAAAGAAAAAAATAATAATACGGGTTTTTAGAAAAGAAAATGAAATTTTTTTTGAATCGAATTTTCTAGAATTAGTCGGATTTCATGCAAAAATATAAAAAAGCGACATTGTTTTATTTACGCTGCGTTTTTTTATTTATTTAAATTTTTAACGCGCGTTTTATTATTATTATTATTATTGTTATTGTTCAAGTTTTAAATTGTCGACAAAGACCGATCGGACATAAATTTTTGTATGGAAAAGTTTTTAAATTTATAAACTTTATTATTTTACTTTATTTATAAAATAAAAAAAAAAAAGGAAAAACCGGAAATAAACTTCAAGAAAATTTTTTCCGAATAAAAAAAAAAAAATGGCGAGTCGTTTTTTTTTTTTTTTATTTATTTCCAGTTTCGGAAAAAAATATTTTTTTCTACTTTTTCCAGGTTTGGAAAAACGGAAATGAAAAAAAAAAAAATTTATTGATTTTTAAAAAAAATTTTTATTATCATTCTTCCTTCTTCGTTTTCTCAGCTCTCTCTCCCTTTCTCCCCCTCTCTCTTTCCCTTGGAATCAATTTTTCTTTATTTTCCTTTTTCTCTCTTTTGCTTTATTTTTTTTTTCGTCTCTCTTTTAATCCTTCCCTATTATTTTCTGTCTCTCACTTTTCTCTCTCTCTCACTTTTTCTCTAGCTTTTTTTTTTCCACATCCAATCTTTTTCTATAATTTTTTGATTCTCTCTCTCTCTCTCTCTTTCTTTCCTTCTTTCTTACGTTTTTTTCCTCTCTATTTCTTTCTTATTCTCTCTATTAATCATACTCTATAACTTTCCTTCTCTTTCTCTCTCGCCTAATTTTTTTTCTCATTTTCCCTTTAAATCTTTCTGTATGATTTTCTGATTCTATCTCTCTCTTTCTTTCTCTCTCTTTCTATTTCCATCTTTATTTCGTTTTTTCTCTCTCTGCCTCTTTTTTTCTAACTCTTTTTTCCTCTCTCAAATTTTTTCTTTTTCTCTCTATTAATCATCTTCAATAACTTTTCTTCTCTCTCTTTCTCTCCCACTCCCCCTCTCTCACCCTCTCTCTTTCTCCCTTAATTTTTTTTTTCTTTTCCTTTTTCGACCCGATTTTAATTTTTCACGCTCAGGTACATTTTCTTTTCGCATCATTGATCATTTTAAATTAATTTCAAATTTTTTCGACCACTCAACAAATAATAATAATAATTAACCTTGACCTCATTTTTTTTCGTCGAATTGTGAGCAGTGGGGAGGGGAATCGGGGGGAAAAAAAATAAAATTATGCTAAACTTAACGAACTTGAGAGTTATTAACTTCTTATTTACATAACTTAAATAAATTTTATTAAATAAAATAAAAAAGCCTTTTTTTTCAAAATGAAAAACAAATTTCCTTTTTAAAGTTTTCAAGTTTTTTTTTTTCTTCCACTTCCCGACCTTCTCCTGCCACTTAAAAAAAATTGTGATTATAGTTGATAATAATAATAATAACAACGGCTTAGCATTTAATACGTGCGAGTGCGTGTGTGCGTGCGTGCGGCATTTAATGAGATTCGACTCGGTTTTAATTATCGCGTCAAAAATTTATTTACCTCGTTAAAAAATTTTTTCCATTCATTCATTTTTTTATTATCGACGTTTAAAAATGGCGTTTGTTTGTTTTTTTTGTTTGTTTGTTTTTCGATTGTTTTATTTTTAACCGTTAGGTGTTTACGACGACAAAAAAAAATTTCCGACAGAAAAACCTGAAAAACAAAAACAAAGTACAACAACGACACGTGATTATTTGTCGATTCGACGAAAAGTTTTATGATTTTTTTTTTTTTTACAATTCAAACGAAAACAAACAACAACAACAACTTGTTGTTTGTTGTTGTTGTTGCTCGACTGGATTTTAAATTTTATTACCTAATCTAATACACGCACACCTTCAAAAAAGTTTTGGTTTCAAGGGTACATTACGAATTTGTTATAATCGGACAAATATTTTATAACTTTTTTTAAAAAAAAAAAAAAATATTCATTCACCTTGATCTCGAATTAGTTATTATCATTATTATCATTACCATTATCATTATCATTATTATTATCATCGTTATTTATAATATTAACAATTATTTGGTAAAAAGTTTTTATTAACCGATAAATGTCAAACGAATCGAACCATTTATTTTGGCATTTTCTTAACGGAACAAATATAAATATGAGAAAAAAAAAAGAGATAGAAGATGAATTTGGGTAATGAGAAGGAAAGAGAGAGAGAGAGAGTGAAGAGAAATTTGTCAAACGTTGAAAATTTAAAATGTTTCATTATTTTTGCTTCAAGCGTTTCTCCTTCATATTTATTGTTAAAATTATATTGGGATCTTATTAAACTCCCCCACCTTCATCTCCTCCCCTTTCCTCCTCCCCTCCCCTCTCTCTCTCTCTCTTTCACGAAATTTTCTCCAGTTTTTCATTTCTTTTCTGAATTTTTCCTACTGGAAAATGATTAAGTGCGTTCGCATGTTGTATAAAATCATCTTATCAATTCTTTTTTTTTTTTTTTATTTCACGATTAAATTGTATTAAATTGTTTTGATTACGTTTGTCGCGTTTGTTTCGTTTGTTGTGTTTGTTTTATTCACTCCATGTTGAATTCATTCAACAATTCAAAAGAAAATTTTTTTTTTCACGAAAAAAAAAAGAAAATTTACGACGTCGTAAAAATAAAAAAAAAAAAAAAACTTTTATTTTCGAGTTAAAGACGTTGTAAAAAATATTTTTTTAACGGGGAGGTAGGCGGGGGCGGTTCCCCCTCCCTTCCTTCCCGTTAAATTGAACCGGAAATTGTTTAAATAAAGATTTTTATTAATTTATAAACATTTATAATAACGTTAATAATAATAATGTTTTTTTTTCTTTTTTTTAGAAATCGACGCCGGAAGTAAATAATAGAAAAGAAAAAAAAATCATGGAAGAAGGTTCCAGTAGAGACGTTACAGTCATGCAAACCCTCCCACAATCCCAGCGAACGTTGCCTCCTAAAAAAGTTTTATTAACACAAGAATCAACGATATGGACGAGAAAACAAAATGCCGTTTGCGTGAGGAGAGCCGTTAAAAGATACGGTACAAAAAAATGTCCGACAACAATATTAAACGAATTAAACATGACTGTACCAAGAGGAAAAATGTAAGTATTATTATTATTATTATTATTATTATTATTATTATTATTATTATTATTATTATTATTATTATTAATATTTTAAATAAAAGGTTTCAGAATTCTGGAGATGACAAAAATAAAAATATACTTTACAGAAACAACAACAACAAAAAAGTTTCCATTACTTGAGATTATATAATTGTTTTCCCTCTAGGATTTCAAATTTAAATTTCTATCATTATCAGTATTATTATCATTATCATTATCAATATTATTATTATCAGGTACAAATAATATAATTTAATACCTTCCGGTTAGTTGAAATCAATCAAATGGATAATTTTATAAACACCACATGAGCGTAAAAAAATTTTTTTTTTTTTGTTGCATCAAAGTTGGCCGCACTGCTTATTAATTAATTTTTGGTTTTCGTTCGAAAATGAAATTTGTTGTTGTTGTTGTTGTTGTTCTCGTTGTTTGTTACACACGATTCGAAAATATAAATTGTTTCGTTAAAAAAAAAAAAAAATTAGTTTCCGTTCAGTTTCTTAATTATTATTATTATTATTTTAATTAAACACGTCTGAAATTTATTTTCAATTTCTAAAACGTTAAAAACCTTGAAAATCCTTACGACGATGATAATGATGATAATAATAATGATAATTTTGTCTTTAGATTTCCCCCCGGAAAAAAACATAAAATTTTTAGTCGTTCAAAAATAATGTTTAACTTATAGTGATAAAAAATTTAATTGAATTTGCTCCGCCCCCTTTTTTTTGGCGCGATTATCAAACAGGAAATAATAATTTTTTTTTTTTTTTTGATTACAGTTACGGTCTTTTGGGAGCTTCCGGTTGTGGTAAAACGACACTTTTATCATGCATAGTTGGGAGAAGAGCATTAAATTCAGGAGAAATATGGGTTTTAGGTGGTAAACCTGGTTCTAGGGGTAGCAGAGTACCCGGAAGTAGAATCGGTTACATGCCACAAGTAAAAATTTTCTTTTCGAAATTTCCTTTTCTTTTTCCAACAATTTTCCTAATGGTAAAATAATTTTCTTTTTTTTTTTTTTTTAATTCAAGGAAATTGCTCTCTATGGAGAATTTTCCATAAAAGAAACTTTTATATATTTCGGATGGATTGCTGGAATGTCTTCTGAACAGGTGAAAGAAAGATCAGAATTTCTTGTTAAATTTTTAATGTTACCCACACCGAGCAGACTCGTTAAAAATTTAAGGTAAATTTTCTTTCTTTTTCTTTTTCTTTTCCTTCTTATATTACCCCCTCCCCATCCCCCCCAAAAAAAAACCAAATTAGTTTTTAATTAATGAATTCTATTCAAAAAAAAAAAAAAAATCGATACTTTACAAAATTTTTTTTAAATTAATTATCGCTAAATTTAAAAAAAAAAAAAGAAGAAAAATTCTGACGTCATTATGACGTCATTAAATAAATAAAAAATTTAGTTTTTAATAAAAATTAAATTTTTAACACCCGTTTTTCGAATTCGAATGAATTTTTGAATGGTTTATAAAATTGGAGGGAGGGGGTAGTAAATTAAATTAACGAAATATCTTTCGTTTCGTTACCCCCGCCCAGCCCCGCCCCCACAGCCCCCCAGCCCGCCCCTGGGAAAAAAAAAATTTTTTTGTTATTTCCGATGCTTTTTACTCGTACTCGAACGAGTAATTAATAGTAAATGTTATTTTTTTTTTTTTAAATGTTTTAATACGGTTTATTTTATGTTGATGCATTATTATCATCATCGTCATCATCATCATTATCTTTTTCTAATTCCACGTTTTAAAAAGTTTTAAAAAGTTTACGAAATAAAATTTAACGTCAAAGTTAATATATATATATATAAATATAGAAAAAAAAAGTTTGTTTTCGAACCATGCGTTCGTTGGTGCGTATTTTTCACAAAAAAAAAATTTTTTTCTTTGTTTTATTCAATGACGTCATAAAATTTTCCCGCGTTTTTTTTTTGAAAAATTTATTCGATCGATCGGTTTTTTTTTTTTAATTTTTTCCGTTACGAGTTCGGGTAAGCGTGAGTTGTTAATGAAAACCTTTTTCGTATTAGAAAATTAAATTTGTTTAATAATTTAAATCGGATCGTGTGACCTTTTGACATTTTATTTTTTTTTTTCGTTTCGTAATTAAATTTTCATCGACAATATATAAATAGACAGAATTTTAAACAAATAAATAAAGATAAAAAAAATAAATAAATAAATAAATTGATTGTCGTTTGTCACAAAAAAAAAAATTTTCATTATGCATTTGCTTCATTAGTAAGGTCGTCTCCTATTTGCTTCCAGTGATTAACATAAAAATTTCTCTCTCTCTCTCTCTCTCTTTCTCTCTCTAACATATTTTCAATGGAAAATTTTCTTTTACGTATTTTTTTTTTTTTTTTTTGTTAAGGAGAGTAATTTTACGTAATACGGGGATTTAATGGATTTACAAGTTTTTGGGTTTTTTTGTTTGTTTTTCTTTTTCTCTTTCTCTCTCTCTCTCTTTTATTTCAAGGTTTCATCGACGTTAAAGATTGTTAATAAATAAAGTCAATTATCATTATTATCATTATTGTAATGTTTTTAAAAACAAAAAGCTTATAAGAATTTTTTTCAATTTTTTTTATTTTTAAATATGTAAATTTTTTAAAAATGGATGTCAAGGTTTTTCCTCTTTTCCCTTAACACCTTCCTTTTTCTTCTGACACGACTTAATTAAAAAAAATTTTTTTTTTTCATTGGATTTTCCAACAGCGGTGGACAACAGAGAAGAGTATCGTTTGCAGCTGCTTTATTACACGAACCCGAACTTCTCATATTGGACGAACCTACCGTGGGCGTCGATCCTGTTTTGAGACAAAGCATTTGGGATCATTTAGTCGAAATAACCAAAGATGGAAATAAAACGGTTATTATAACGACTCATTACATAGAAGAAACGAGACAGGCTGGAATGGTAAGATAATTCATTCATTCATTCATTCATTCAATCATTCATTCATTCGTATTATTATTTTCCCTGCGAATGTGAACGAAAGGGCCAAAATTTTTTTTTTTTTTTTTTTTTTTAAATCAATCCCGAAGGATTATTGCATTTATGTACATAACATAAATAAATATTTAATTAATAAAAAAATTTACGTTAATTAATTAATTAATAATAAAATCGTTTGGTTGCCTAAAATAAAAATAAAAAAATTTCAAAACAATACAAAAACAAAAAAAAACAGAACATAAACAATATGAATAAAATCGTCTGCTGTATGTTATGATGATGATGAGGCTCTGATAAATAATAATAATAATAATAATAATAATAATAATAAAGTATTAATTAATTTAATTAAATTATCGATCGCTGTTTATTTATTAAAAAAAAAAAAAAAATGCAAAATCATTATTTAGAAAAAGGCGATAACGAGGACAACGTTTTTATTAACACGATAGCAGGTTCGATAGCAGGCGTCGTGGAACTTTGTTTGATGTATCCAATTGACACGGTTAAAACGAGAATGCAAAGTTTAAATGGCGGTAAAAATCGTAACGTGTTAAATATACTAACGGAAATGATAAAAACGGAAGGAGTTTTGAAACCTTGGAGAGGAGTCGAAGTCATCGCGACTGTACACGGTCCCGTACACGGCGTGTATTTCGCATCATACGAATTCGTCAAATATAGAATGTTAAACGTATTTCCGGAATCTTTGGGTTTATCCGCTGGTACGGCGGGTGCGGCGGCGACGATAATCCACGATTTAATCGTTAATCCCGCCGAAGTCATTAAACAAAGAATGCAAATGGAAAACAGCCCTTATAAAAACATCGGAGATTGCATCGTTAAAATATATAAAAACGAAGGGATTCCGGCATTTTACAAATCATTCGAAACTCAACTCGTCATGAACGTTCCTTTTCAAATGATACAATTCGTCACGTATGAATTTTTCCGGAAATTAACGAATTCGGATGTTAATTCGAACATATTGATGCATTTCGTTAACGGTGCCGTGGCGGGAAGCGTGGCCGCTGCCGCCACGACTCCTTTAGACGTTTGTAAAACACTGATTAACACGCAACAGAGACAAGTGTCCAACATGTTCGGAGCCGTTAAAACAATATATAAAATAAACGGTATTTCCGGTTTTTTCAAAGGTACCACGGCTAGAATTTTACATCAGGCACCGTCTAATGCCATATGTTGGGCAATTTTCGAATCAATGAAATCAATCATGGAAAAAATTAAGAAAAACTTTTGAATGGGTAAATTTTTTACTTTTGAATGAATGAATAAATGAACGAATGGTAATATTTATCGGTTATTTCGAGAAAATTTTAAAGGGATTGATTAATAAATTATCATTTACATTTACTTCCTGTAGGAAAATTTTTTTCTTTTTCGATTAATATTAATTACCAAATTTTTTTTTCTTTTTT